TTATTAAAAATTTTTTAATGTTTATTTATTTTTGAGTGAGTGAGAGAGAGAGAGAGAGAGAGCAAGAGCAGGGGAAGGACAGAGAGAGGGAGACACAGAATCTGAAGCAAGCTTCAGGCTCTGAACTGTCAGCACAGAGCCCGACGCGGGGCTTGAACTCACGAACGGTGAGATCATGACCTGAGCCAAAGTCGGACGCTCAATTGACTGAGCCATCCAGGTATCCCTGGGCTTTTGGATTTCTGTGTTTAAGCCCTGGCTCTTTCATTTGAAAGCTATGGGACTCCTTCCCTGTAAAAGGAGGACAGGGTATAATGTCCACTGGCTGAGGGTTATGGAATTTTCTCTCCCATCCGTCTTAATTTTCCCCTTTCCTTTCAGATCCCCGGAATCCCTCTAGCCCTCCTCTTGTGTGACCAGCTCAAACTCAAAATTCTTCTTCATTTTTCAAAGCAATTTTTCTTTCTGTGTGTCATGGCTTGCTCTCTAAACCAGATCCTGGGACCTAGCTTTTCAGAACTGAGTGCCAGGCAAGTGATTTGCTGACAACAAGAGAAGTTCTCTGAAGGGAATTCTGCCCCCAGCTTCAATGTAACATGCATTTCTTTCCCTTCATGGCTATACTGGCTCTTCCCTCCGCACTTCCCTTTTTTCTCAAGACAGCCTATAATGAATGAGATGGCCCAATCAACAGCCACACTGGCCTACCCTCTTCCACAGACTTCTCAAATCTCCAGTGCACCGCTCCCCTCACAGGCCATTTTCTAAAGACTCTAAGACCAACCATGCCCACCCTTCCCCTTCCATGTCTCTCCAGTCTTTCTTACAAACCCAACTGTGCCATCATGCCAACGTGGTAGCCGGGAGTGTTTATTATATATACCCACCAAACACGGGGTTGGGGGGGAGCTGTTTTGTAACAAAATTACAAAAAGCAATCCATCAATGGTAGAAATTGGCCATCACTAATCTAACATTCTTCCTGAAGTGTGCCCCATCCACTCTGCCAATCAAACCTCATTTGTTCAGCTAATAGCAGAAATCTTTCAACTGTAGGGAGAGAAGACCTCCTACTCTGGCCATAAAGAATGAATTGCATTTCACCTAGACCACACTTAGTAATCTCATTCTCCTAGGGTTGGCTACATGACCCAATGAAATATAAGGGGAAGTTTGCTGGATGTGTCTTTTGCTGTCTTGGGTTAAAAAGGACAAACTCAGCAGGCAGGGTCCTTTTTGTACCTTTGTCACGTTGTCTTTCCCAGAATACTGATAATATGCCTGGAAGTACAGCAGCCACCTTGGGACCATGAGGCTCAAGAAGAGGGCAAAGATATAATCTGTTAAAGTATGGCTTAATAGAAAGATAGCAAGAGCCTGGGGATACTGATGGTAACCTCGAGTAGCTGAGGTCTCAGCAGTCATGTGAAAATGAATAAGGCTCCATTTGTTTAGGTCACTGGGTCTTTTGTTACACATACCTAAATGCAATCCTAACTGATACATAGTTCTTTCTCTCAAGAGATGGGTAATGACTCAGTGTATACAACTCGATATCACTCTTTATTCTGTATCTAGTGCATGAAAAAACCCTGTCTGCTCTACTATCAAAATACATCCCAGGGTACCTGACTGGATCAGTTAGGGAAGCAGGCAACTCTTGATGTTGGGGTCATGAGCTCCAGCTCCACATTGGGCTTAAAGCTTACATTAAAAAGAACATATAGATATATGTTTATCTCATATATACATATGAGATATATACATATAATATAGGATATATATATATATATATGTATATATATCTCAGATTTCAAACATTTCTCATTGCCCTGATACCAACCTGGATTAAGCACCATCATCTCACTCAGAATATGGCAGCATTCACTGAACAGGCCACCTGTGTCTAGCCTTTCTCCTCTGTAGTCTATTCTCAACACAGCGACCAGAGTGATTCCATTGAAAGGCAAACCAGATGGTAACCCTTCTGTGATCAAAACCCTCCAGTGGTGTCTATGGTACCCAGAGTAGAAGCCAAAATCCTTAAAGTGACATACAGGGGACCTGCATGACTCAGCTCCTGCTTTTTTGTTATTTTGTGTTGTTTCTATAACACTGCTTTGAAGTTTACTGACCTTTTCTTCCTCAAAATTGAATCTACTTTTATGCCCACCCAGTGCATATTTCATTTTGTACTTTTCACTTTTTGGCTCTTGAGTTTCCTTTTGTTCTTGGTTTCTCTCTTCATCGTATTCATGTTTTTCTTTAATCCTTGAGCATAGTTACAATAGCTGCCCCAAAGCCCTTGGATGTTAATTTCTGTCACTTCCAGGTCTGTTTCTATTGACAGATTTTTTTTTTTCCCTGATTCTGTGTCACATTTCCTTTTGTTTTGGGGCAAATCTAATAATTATCACTGGACGTGGAACATTGTAGCTTTTCTGTTGTCGAATCTTTAGATTATGTGAACAGGCAGCACATTTACATTGACGTGAGCATTTCACAGCTTGTGTTTAAGCTTTGTCAGGGAAGGTCTAGAGTTTTCTTTGAAGGCCAATGTGCCCTTTACTAAGCATTGAACCTTCTGAGATACCAATTTAATATCCTAGCTGTTCAACCAACACTTTCCACCCTGGCCAGTCTTACATCAAGTATCTCCCAGCCCTGTGCAAGCTCTTGTGTTTGTTCAGTATCCAGTTCTCTGGTGGCGGTCTTGTCTGTCTGTCTGTCTGTCTGTGTTTTTGTAACTGCTCTTTGTCTATTCTTCTATGTATGGACAGCTTTGCATTCAACAGAAGACCCAAGGGAACCCCATATACGTTTCCAAAGTTCTTTTCCTGTATTGCTCACTTAGCTCCGGTATTCTCTGGCATGATTTCAAAAATCGCAGCCTCTTCCCACTCTGATCTTCACCTTCTCAGCCTAGTGAGATGGTCCACACTCTTCACAGGTTTCCCTGCTTCATGTTGCAATCCGGAGTTGCCCCGAGGCAGAAGTCCGGGGCAGCAGTGGGGTTCCCCTCACCTGTTTTCCTTCCCTCAGAGTTTACCGTCCTGCACTCTGTGTTGCTCACTGTCTGAAAACGTGATTCCATGTACTTCACTAGATTTCTAGTTTATGGCATGAAGGTTACTCAGTCGTCACCGGACGTGGCCATGAACACTCCTTTAATGTGTAGTGCATTTCAGCCTCTGTGAGAGCTCCAGGGTACCAAGTTGAGTGTGGGTCCATTGGCATGTGGTTGAGGAACTGAAACTCAGAGTGAAGAAGTCATTTGCCTATGACAAAGCTGTCACTGGAGCTAGGAGGGATGCCCAGGTGTTTTGGGCTCTTAGGCTGATCTTTATGCTCAAGCTGTATCACCTTTTCCGAGCTTAGCGCTTCTGAACACACCCTCCCCCTCAGCTCCTGTCTTCTCACACTTAGAATACAGACTTCTTCAGCCAGCACCCCCTCTAACACCCTCCCCCAGACTAGCTGGGAAAGGTCTTTCAAGCCCCAGCGGATCAGACCATTTAGAAGGACTGAGACCCACTCCATCCCAAGTCAGCGGGATGAGCGTTCTGATTCTCTCCACCGCCCACTTTGACATCTGCTTCAGATTTCCCCTACAGGCCCCTCTCTCCAGCCTGCAGCACGATGAGACCGTGTCTGGTGAAATTGTGCTGTGAACAGCAACACTTAAGCAAATGGGATTCATCCAAAAACAATTTAGGTAGAAAACAGCTGCTTCTGCGTGTCAGGCGACAAGGGGCTGAGGGTCGCAAAAGGCCTCTTTGCTCCATGAGTACTGGTTCCGGGGACTTGCTGCCCAGTTGCAGGGGGTCCTCAGGCAGGCAGGCTCCTGCCGCAGGGGTTCTCAGAGTCTGTTCCTGTGTAGAGAGCACTTTTTCCCGAAGTCATGCCTCTATGAGGTGGGAGGATAAAGGCCCAGGTATTTTAGTCTGAATGAAGCAGGATGACTCTGGTGGACAGAACAGATCTGGAGCTCCCGGCCAGGTTGGCCGAAGCCTTGTCAGGGCTGCATGCGGACTCCGTTCCCCCCGCCCCCTCCCCTAGTCCTGCCTCCTCCCCGGCCTTTCACAGGTGATGATTCCTGGTGAATGATCTGCACCTACTTCTGGCTCTACCTCTGTTCCGAAGCCAATCTGTGACTCAGGGAACCACCACTGGGGCCACACAGCCCAGGTTCCCCGCAGCCAGGGCCTCAAAGTTAGGCAGTGGGTGCTGATTCCATAGGACGGTCACCCTGATATGACAGGTTTGGGCTCCTCACAACTTTCCACCTCCCTTCCGTCTTAGAAAATTGAAGTGACCATCCAGAATGTATTGGGAAATAATGTCAGATATTTATTGAGTGTACATTCTGAGCCAGACACCATGCTTTCAAACACACAGTCACACTTAATCTCCACAAACGATCCCATAGGAAAGGTAACCCTATTATTCCCGCTCTTTAAAGACCTTCTCTAGCCTCTATCTGCGAAGAGTTGGGGCAGGTCCAGGGGTAGGTGATGCATGACTATCTCGTGCCCTCTCCAGGGTCCTGGCCCCAACTTCTACAGCATGAGCCCCTGACAGTGGCTTCCTTCTCTTCTCTGGGTGGTGCTTACCTCCTTCCTGTCCTCCTCCCTCCCCCAGTTCTCAGTTCTGCAGGTCTGGCAGCCCCTGCACTGGCCCCACTAGCAAAGCAGAGGCACTTTCCGTGCCAAAAACCCACCCTTGAAAGTAGGAACAAAAGTGCTCAGCCCACATCCTGTATCTGAGCAAATTTGTCATAGGTGGTTCAACCCAGGCAAACCTTTATGCAATATCCTTCATCTTACCACCAGTCTAGTAACCACCAAATCTGGGCTCCCAAGAGGTCACTAATTCATTTATCCACTTATCAACAATGAACTACCAGTGATGGACCTGCTGGCTACAAGGGCTGGCTGGAAGAACACAGATGAACCACCTCGTCATTTATTCATGCACTTGCTTATTTAACAATGACTTACTGAGATCCTGTTTTGTCTGAAGTACACATCCTGATGACATGGTGGGAGCAAGAAGCAGTCTTGACCTTGCATTCCATAGAAAGGGGGAAGGGTTAGAGTCCATCATTCACCTACTTTACTGTAGAATCCAGTCTCACATACAGAGTCTGGAAGGACATACAAGAGATTTTTAGTTCAGGTTGGAGAGTGACTTCTGATGCAGATGGGGATCTTGGATGAGGTGTGCATCTGGGCATCTCATTCTGTTGGTTCCTTCCTAGTTCCTTTCAGGCTGAGTCTTTCCATTTAAGCTCTTTGGGTGCCTCATCGGTGTACTCTTCCCACCAAGGAACAAATGCATTTCTCCAAACATGCTTTCTCCTTTCTTCCCTTCCAGGGCCCTGCCTTGTAGATGGGCCTTCCTTAGCATGCCTCCTATGTGTTCCCAGGCTGACAGAGGCTGAAAAAGCCCACCCCCTCCTCTGCCTAGAGGCACGTGAACAAAGAGCCCCTTTCTGTTAAGCCAAGTTAAGACCTGAACCGGGTCCCACAAAGCAAGGTGGGGAGGTGCCAGCACTTAGGAATGCATGCGTGTGGGGGCAAGCAAGGAAAATCTATCTTGCCATACTTAGAGTGTTTCTTCCTCTTTTTTCTGCATGTTTCCATTCGACTTTGCCTGGTGTTCTCCCGCTGCTTCCTCCTTCTTTTGGGTCCCTACCTATTTCTGCAGTGAGCTAGGTTATAGATTCCCCTCTCTCCCTACCCATCCCTGGACAATCCTTATCCCAAGAAAAGACAGAGGAGGGGGAAGACAGAACCCTCCCCGGAGTCTAGTCTACCAGGTGCTGAGCCTCCTGCCAATAACCACCAGAGGGCGCTGCTCCCCCTGGCCTCCTGCGGTGCAGGCTCCACCACCCCCCATGCCCCCAGCCAGGCAGGGGGTGCTTCTGAGGCACTGCACAGGTCTGTACCCAAATTTCCGTCTAGACGGTGGCAGTGCCTCCACTACATCTTTCATTTTTATTTCCCCCTTTAGCGGAACAGTCTGCTGAATTTTCTCCTCAAGCAAATCACTAAAGCATATGGTTTCTGAGTAAGTCTTGAGTTAATAATTATAGTTTTCCCCACCTTGAGGGATTCAGATATTCCCTAGGGCTTAAAACAGAGCTACATCTTGCCTTCCCAGACCTGTGTAAATCAAGGTGACCCGGGACTGGGATTTAAATCTGCCCTTATTAACCAAAAATGGGTGTCCTCACATCACCACCCATGTGGCAATACTCAGTTGCTATGACACCCCTAAAGGCTCATCGGTCATTCTTGTTCCCCATGTGTGCCCAGGGTGACCGTTTCTGCCTCCGAGTTCACTGAGACAGAATATTAGTTTCAGATGCGCAATATAGTGACTCAAGACTTCATACATCACCCTGTACTCATCCCAAGTACCCTCCTTCATCCCCACCACCTATGTAATCCACCCCCCATCCCTTCCCCTCTGGTGACCATCAGTTTGTTCTCTATAGTTAAGAGTCTGTTTCTAGGCCCACCACCCCCCCTTTTTCTTTCCCCTTTGCTTTTTTGTTTTGTTTCTTAAATTCCACATATGAGTGAAATCATGTAGTATTTGTCTTTGTCTTATTTCACTTGTCAAAGCTCACTATCCAGAGGAAGCCAGGCTGATCCCTGCCAGAGTGCCTGCCTCCACTCCCCCCCACATTCCATTCGCCATTCATACTGCGGTGCTGCTCAGATTCAATCAGCTCCCTCCTCCTGCATCTTCCATAGGTCCTGCCCATGTTCCCCTTCCTGGGGTTCCGTCAGAAGCCATAAATGAAGATTGACAGAGGGGCATCTGGGTGGCTCAGTCAGTTAAGTGCCTGACTCTATTTCAGCTCAGGCCATGACTCACAATTTGTGGGATCAATCCCTGCTTTGGGCTCCATGCTGAGCATGCAGCCTACTTGAGATTCTCTCTCTCCCCCTCTCTCGCTCGCCCCCTCTCTCCCTCTCAAAAAAAAAAAAAAAGATTGACAGATTGGACTCCATAAAAACACTTTTGTAATTGCACAAGCTAATATAAACAAAATATGAATAAAAATAATGGGGAAATTTAAAAATAAGATGAGAGAGAAAAGATCAATTTATGTAGTGCAGACAGAAGGACAACCCCATAGGAATGGGCAGGCAACTGGGAGAAGCAACAGCATTGGTCAATAAATATATGAAGAAATAATTGCTCAACCTTTAATTTTAATATAAGTTCAAATAAGGAGACATTGTTGTTTGATATAAAAGATATAAAAGACTTATAAAACCCATTATTTGCCAGAATCAGGGAACTAAGCATACTCCATATACTGTGGGAGGGAATATAAACTTTTCCAATCCTTGTCAGGGAACAAATATAAATCTTGAAGAGTAATATAGAAATAGTAAGTGCCCATTCTTTTATATAAACTCATCTCGTTGCAGTATTGTCTGTTACTGTGAAATTTACAGTCAGCTAAAGGCAGTGGGAGAGTGTAGCCATTAATAGGGCACATAAACTGATGTATCTAAATTTATGACATATACGATGCTTTATCTTAAATTGTTGAGTGTGTGTGTGTGTGTGTGTGTGTGTGTGTGTGTGTGTGTACAGAGACAGAGAGAAAGAAGAAAATTGGGAATGACATACACTAAACCTTAACAGTGATTTCTTTAGGGAATGAGTAGCCACTTTCATTTTCTGCTTTATATACTTTCATGTCCTTTAGGGTTTGGTTGCAATGCGCATTTGCTACAGTTATATTTTTCCCCATGTTTCCAGTATGGGGCAAAAAGGAACAATTTGTTTATGTGTTTGCCTCCCCGACTAAGGACATAAGTCATTAGAAGGCTGGAACCAAGTCATATTTATATTTATAAAGTGGCTGGCATAAACACTCCATTCACATGTTTTGAATAGTTTCTTTTACACATTTTAAAGGTTGACGCTCCATGTAGCATATCTTTCATTTCCTATAGTATGATATTTTGTCGAATTTACATATTTGCCTCCCTAAGTAGAGTGCAGGTTTCTTGAGGCAGATCAGATGCATCCCTTATAAGCTCCTAGCAGCTCACTGCCAAGTGTGGACTTTCCATGAAGTCTGCAGTACTTGTTGGGTACTGAGTCATTCAAAGTCTTACTTCCTTTCTAGACCCCAACCCCTCCACCCATATCCTCACTTGATCTTAGCCAAAAGGCTAAGCGATCAACCCCCCCCCCCCCACATTCTCTTCCTCTGCCTTGGCGGGGCTCTGAGTTTAGAACATACTAATGTCTGTGTGACTGGGAAAGAGTGAAAGTCTAGTAAGGAATGTCTCCAATTTAGGCTCTGAGTCTGAATAGACAATATAACAATGGAGCAGAAGATCTGACTTGGGATAGAATCCACAGCTTGGAACCAGAATGAGACTTGGCTTAAGAAGGTCTGCAGGGGCGCCTGGTGGCTCAGTCAGTTGGCCATCTGACTCTTGATTTCAGCTCAGGTCATGATCTCAGGGTTCATGGGATTGGGCTCACTGCTGACAGTACACAGCCTGTTTAGAGTTCTCTCTCTCTGTCAATCTCTGCCCTCTCCCACTTGTGCTCTCTCTCTCTCTCTCTCTCTCTCACACACACACAAGATAAATAAATTTTTTTTAAAAAAAGAAGAAAGTCTGCAAACAACTGTCATGACCTTGAAGGTAACAGAATTCAGGACAGGCTGGAAGTGGGCGGTGAGCTAGGAAGAGCAGGACGCAGGAGACTGGGGGAGGCTGTCTTCACATATTGGGACTTTTCCATTCTTCTGTCCCTTTGCAACCCTCTGCCTTGTTTTCTTACCAATTTTGCTGATTCTGTACTTTTGGTGGGTTTCCCACCACAATCCTTCCTTAAAAATACACCAGTCTGTTTTAATTTTCTAAATCAGAATAAATCTGATCCTATGCCCTTAACTCACTGGACTGATGAGAAATCCAATCTCATTCATTACCAATGCTCTCTCTCTCCACCCACAGCTGATCTTACTTTAGTTCAGACATTCGGGAGTCCCCATGATCATTGTGTTATGCTCCTGCCCAAGCCTACCTATTGTCCTAGAGGCAGGTGGTCCGGATGCCCTGTCACCCCTGGGTCCCGAGGATCCTATGGCCTCTTGCATAGGTAGGAGCTGTTGCTGGCCCACCAGCCAGGCCACGATGATCAGAGCGGAGGAGCAAAGGACTGGGGGTCCCTGCCGATAGACACCTGCAGAGGACTGAGGCCTGGAGCGGTGTGAGATCTCCTAGACTAGCCAGGCGGGCAGTTGCCTTCCAGCTCTGAGCATCTATGGTTTAGTGACTCCATTCAGGCCTCATGTTACTAACCTGGGCTTTGATATATCTTTTTGTTTCCAGACTTAACTTCTAGCAGAGCAGGAAGGGTGACCTTACTGTGTGCTTCTTCTCCAGGAATTCTTGTGTAGGATTCTGGGAGGCTCCCCGGGACCCTCCAAATCTCCCCATCTAGGCCTTCCCTTGACTTCCTCTCAGACCTTGAACTGGGACTGGCTTTGCTCTCCTGTGGCTGCTGACTTGTTCCCTGAGGCACAAGGGGGAAAAAAATCATTCTGCTTCAGCAAGCGTGACCTCATTTGTGCAATCTTGACCCTGTGGTGTAAGGCTGTCCTGTCCCTACTATTTGTGGGGCCCAGAGCTAGGGTACAAATGGAGGCCTGCATATTTTTATGCAAGTTTAAATATTTAAAAGAGCTAACTGTTAAAATATGATTTATAGTCTTACATTAACAAATAGGATTTCACAACAACCTAGAAGATCAGGCTTGAGTTCAGAATTCTCAGGCTCCTGGGAATTCTGCCCCGGCATGGGGCAGTGTATGTCCTCGGCCCTCAGCCCACAGGCAACCCTCCTCTTCTCCCTCAGCCTCTCACAGAACAGAGCCTCTTACACACACACTTGTGGGCACCTCAGTCTTTGCATCCAGTCCTCTTCTATACCCTACGTCCACACCCCCAAACACACACACACGCACACACACACACACACACACACACACACACACGGTCCTGTGGGCCAGGCATGTGTACATCAGCCTTGGATTCCACACTCAGGATGCTGGGACCATGGAAAAGGCCTATCCAGGCCCTGAAAGTGGGCACCAGGCTATCTGGGCAGGAATCCTGAGTATCTGGGTCATGGTGTAGAAGAGGGGAGATGCGAATTCCAGGTGGATGTGCCCTTAGCCCTGGAGTCTTATGTCACGGTCAGGGCTGCAGCTGGAGGAGGACCAGAGTGGAGCCACCAATAGCAGAGAGGCAGGCTGCTGTGGTCCCCAGGTCAAATCCAGCCCAATGCCTGTTTTTGTAGTTACATTTTTTTGGAACACAGCTACACCCAATTTGTTTTCACGTTGCCTATGACTGCTCTCCCTCCAGAGTGGTGGGGTTGGGAAGTTACAACCGACCTAGGAGCAGGGCCTGCAAAGCCTAAAATATCTGGCCCTTTATAGAAAAGTTTGCCATTCTTCCTTCAAAGCACGATATCCCAAGCTGGGAATAAGACTGTTTGGGTCTGAGGCTGTTTCTGGGTTCAGACACCTAATTTCACCATAAATTTCTCCTGATCCTCTCACTTCTAATCCATTCCTTCTAGAAAAACGATTTGCTTTTGTTATTTTTGAGAAATAGATTTTTAACCTAAGTTCTGAACAACACTTTCACAAGCCTATTTAATCATTGCAACTCACGAAGGAGGTCATAATGGCCGGATTTGCAGAAGGAGCTTACGGGGGTGTGTGTGTGTGTGTGTGTGTGTGTGTGTGTGTGTGCGTGCATGCGCGCGCAGGGAATGCAAGGTCATCTTTCTTTCTTTTTAAAAAATTTTTAATGTTTATTTTTGAGACAGAGAAACAGAGAATGAGCAGGGGAGGGGCACAGAGAGGAAGACACAAAGTTGGAAGCAGGCTCCAGGCTCTGAGCTGTCAGCACAGAGCCCAACACGGGGCTCAAACCCACAAACCGTGAGATCATGACCTGAGCTGAAGTCAGACACTTAACCAACTGAGAGGCCCAGGCGCCCCAGGTCATGTTTCTAAGTGGTGGCAGCAACAGAATTTCTGTGGAGGAGAGGCTTGACGATGGCCATGTGATTAAGGGGAAGTGAGAGCCAGATGCTAGGGGACTTCTTTCTAAGGGGCTTTGAATATTCATTCCCTCATGACTGAGAAAACACCAGATGTTCATGGTACAGGGGTGGCAAGCGTGGCTGGGGTAGGGAGACTGAGTCCCCCGAGGTCCCTAAACACTGTCCCAGTGCTCAGATTTTCTTACCACAAGGTAGACATTACCTGGGACACCTCTCTGGTTTTCTAACTGGTTGAGCTCAAAAAGCTCAACACTGAAAATGGAATGTTTTTGGTAATAATAATAAAGTCAAATGTTAATGAAGCACAACATAATGTAAAAACAATATTTTTTCTAAATTAAAAAAAATACAAAACACAAATGCCCTGGGGATTGGGTATAGACCACAAATCACTCATCAATGTGTCCAAAAAAACCCACTGTGACATTCTATCATGCAAAATAACTTGTCAGATTTTAAAACATTTTTATTTGATCTTTGGTTTTTTGTTTTTTTTTTTAAACAACACTGATGTTGAAATACAAGAAAATACCCACCAGAGTGGCAGTACCTCCTTTTGCTCTTCGCGGCCTTTTGCCTGTTTGATTTTAGAAACGTTTGGGCCATTGAAGAATTACTTCTCAGCGACTTTGAAGTGTTCCACAGTGATGTTGAACTTTAAAAAAAAAAAAACCACACAAATCCTCTAAATTTTGTTTGCATTGTTTTCCAAATCAGTTATAAATATTGTGTCAAAGTATTCAATGGGTGAAGCTCCAAGACACTTGAACTTCTGAGGTTTTAGTAAGGTGATATTTTTTAAAAAATCTTTTTTTTCCCTGAAAATGGCATTGAACAACTCAAATAAGTACTCACATGCTATATAACATACAATTTTGAAATTCTAAAACTTGAACTATTTCAATATTTTATGGAGCCACTATTCTTAGACACTATTTTTAATTAGATATGTTTATTACTATATTAGATTATTAAGGAACTTAATAAAAGGCCTACAATCTTGCAGCATCTAAATTTGGGGGGCTGCAATATGTAGCAAGAACTGTGCAGATGTATATTATTTTTTAGAAAAACATTTTTGAAAACAGTGTTAATAGAAATACTTGATAAGTTTATTTGTATAGCAAAACAATCAAAACTAAATATTTCTGGGTTTGGATGCGTCTGGGTTTGGGTGATGAATTATGTGAAGGGAGCAGAATTGTTGGCCAGACATTCCATTATACACTGAATGTTCCTTAGGTCAGCAGAGTAAAAGACCCCAGATTTGCACCAGGTGCTGAGCCAGCTATTTTATAAGTGAATTATAAAAAGAAAACTCAACTGGGGCGCCTGGGTGGCTCAGGTCATGATCTCACGGTGGGTGGGTTCGAGCCCCGCATCGTCGGGCTCTGTGCTGATAGCTAGCTCAGAGCCTGGAGCCTGCTTCAGATTCTGTGTCTCCCTCTCTCTCTGACCTTCCCCCGCTCACGCTGTCTCTCTCTCTCTCTCTCTCTCTCAAAAATAAATAAAACATTTAAAAAATTTTAAAAAGAAAAATTGAACATATCGCACAGCCCAGCATCTCTGGCCCAGGGTTTCCCCACAATCCCCTGTGAGCCCTGTGGCTTGCACTTCAGCCATCTGCACATGTGTTTGGATCGCTCTCCATCTGGAGAGTGCACACACCCCTTATCTCATGGTCCTGGCTAGGCCAGGAAGGAAGTCACCCTGGTATTCCCCAGTCCTCAGCTCCAAGTCCCTTCCTGCTGTTTTATTTATTTAACCAACACTTACTTACACAGCACCCTTTAAGCGGACCGTGTGCTCAACACTCAGGAAACATCCTGAATCTTCCTAAGGACCCGCTGAGGTGATCATGGTGATCATCCCATTTTACAGAGAGGAAACTGGCGCAGAGAGGCTGAGAGCCTTGCCTAAAGTCATACAGCAGGAAAATGCATTTCAAAGCTGCAGTGTGGCCAGGGTGTGCCCGACCTTGCCCCACACTCTGTGCCTTCCTTTGGCCCAACTATACCTGGAGTCCGCCCCTCACTCCCAACCCAGGCTCCAGTCTTTGGATCTTACTCAGAACTGAGGGAAAAGTCAAGTGGACCAGGTCCGGTGGCACCACCACGTGTTTTAGGACCCCCTCCTCTGACTTTAGTACACCCCACCCAGAACCTGGAGCCATCATGCTGCTCTAGACTGTCTGGTCGCCCTCTTCGCGTGGCACGGACCTCGCAGGCGGCGCTGGGAGAATCAAGTGTCGCCCTCCAGTGGCGACCCCGCTCGGTGCCATCTCGCGTGGAGCCAGCCCTCCGCACCCGCCCCGCCTGCGCTGAATGTTCGCCCCTGAGCTGGGCCGCGACAGCGATCTTCCCAGACGCCAATCCCTTGTCCCCCGCTGGACTGGAGCCCGGCCAGAGCGCCCCTAGCGGCGCGCCTGGAGAGCGCACTTGCTGGCATTCAGCGCTCCCACCCCTCCCCTCCCGGCCTCCTCCATCCCTTCTCTGCCGCAGGTGATGGGGTCGCCGCCCCACGCCCCCTCGACGGACGTCTGAGTGGAGGAGCGCTGGGCTGAGGGATGCCTTGGCGCCGAATTCTCCGCTTACAGAGCTGAAGGGGCCGCAGGGAAGCTGGCCTGCCGGCAAGGCGGAATGAGACCAAACGAGACAGGGTGGGGTGGGCCCAGTGAGGAAATCCCCATCTCTGTCCCCGGAAAGAGGAACTTAACGGTAAAGTGACACTGGTGCGCTGGAGCTGTCCGTGACCAACGCCTCACGCGCTTCACAATTCTCGCAGCTACCTGCGCCCTTCATCCATCCACTGACTGGGTGATCTATGGCTAAAGGTTGTCGAGAGTTTCTTAAATCCTCTGTAGGATTATCCAACACCCCTAAGGTGGCTTGAGCTGTTACGCAAGACAACTGCTGGCCAGAATCCAAGGGAAATACTGCACCTTCCGCAGGCTGCAGGGAGCGTCAGGTCCTGCTCGGGGAAACCTGCTCAGAAACGGGGGGAGTGCTGATACCCTCCGCGGGCGCCCCGTGTCCAGGTCTCTGAGGACTCTGAAGGCCAACTGGCCTGGCTCCTGGGGTTCCCTACCTGCCAGCCATGTGGGCCGCCACGGTGTAGCCAACGGCAGTCACCACCATCCCCAGCAACATGGGGCAAATGGGGCCTTGGGTTTTTAAAACCTCCTGGCCAAAAGTTCCCAGTGCCTAGATGGAAGGCAGGCAAGTCCGTGGGACCGGGTGCCCACCCCACTGCCACTTGCTCCCCTCTTGTTCGGCTGTCTCTATTTCCTCACTCCTTCACTCCCTATCAGAGTTATCATTTGGATCTGCTTGTCCATCAGCTGAAGCATTTCCCAAAGTGTGTTCTAAATAACACTAGCGTTTTGCAAGCTAGTAATAGACTAAACACATTTTGGGAAATGCTATATGTGGCCATTCTGTATTTTTGGTAGCCAATGAAAAATAGGAAATGAGTTACACAATTTATAATGTTCAGAAAATCAGAAAGAAAAAAAAAACCCGGTAACAAGACAATTAGAAAAACAACAACCAAACTACGTTAGATTCCAGGAGCAGAAATATGCTTCCCCCAGGATATTTACAGAGAGAACACTGTATAATGTTAGGATGAACATCCTTATAGTAAACACCAGGCTCTTTTATATGTGGATCCTCCCTATAGCATCCCTTAGGAGAAAGGGCTTCCGGGAGTTGCCCAGCTGTCAGCTAGGGCTGTTAGCATGACTGGCCACATGGTTCTCATCTTCCCTCTCACGTGGCAGCCTTGACCACGAGAGCCAAAGCTTCATGGCCTGTTCAGGACTAGGTCTAGAACAGACCAGTGCCACTCCAGCTGCATTTGATTAATGGAAGCAAATAACAAGGCCAGCTACGATTCAAAGGGTGGTGTGAACATCTCTACCTCCTGGGGCAAAGAGCTCAAAAGCACTGTGGCCATTTTTACAATGCACCACACTGGCCCATTGTCCCATTTTCCAGAATAATCCATTATTATCTGTCTCTTGTGCTATGTATGTACAGAAGTATCCTCCTCTGCACCTTACTTTCCTTCACTCTCCCAGACACCTCTCCATCTCCTCAGCATCACAAAGCTACGTTATTCTTTTCAGTGGTGAAGTTTTACAAAGCCCACTTTGCTGGGCTTCCCTCACACCCCATCTCTCCTTCTCTTTACTGTATCTCTATACCAAATGATGGATATTCCAAGAGCAGTGTTCTCCAAAAAGGTTTTCTTGATTTTCTCCACCTACCTCTGATCACTTTTGAGGTGGGGGAGGGGTGGATCCTTATATCCAGATATATAGCTTCCTACTCCTCAAGCTGGACTCCTTTTTAATTGGCTCTAATAGTCACTCTGGACTAATTTGTCTGGTAGCATTTAATTCACCAGGTAGTAATTTTCTACTTATGTGTCTGCACGGATGACAGTGAGCCCTGTGTCTTGTTTATTCGTATAGCTCAGCACCCACATGGTACCTGATGCAAGGTAGGCAACCACTAAATCATCATTAAATATGTGAATGAACATTATTGAATGACAGGTTTGAGACAGGTGCATTCCCATGGGATTTATTGTGAGTACAGTATGTAACCACAAGCTTACAGGGGATGGGAACTGCTCCTCCTCCATTTCTTCTCCCAGTTTGTGACTCACCTTTCCTGGAGGAATGCCTGGTTCCCCATATGTGAATTCCTATGGTAACACTCTCAGCATTCGGTCTCCACCCACCTATGAGTCCCACCTGCCGGAATCTGTCTCTTCATTGGGCCATTTCTCCTTCACATGTATGTGCTTTCTGTGATGAGAGCTCTCTCTGACCCCCTTTACGCCCTCATGTGCACTTGAAAAGAATGTGATTGTGCAACTTTGGGTACAGTGTTTTAGGGATGCCAATTAAAATTAATCATGTGCTCAGATCCAGACACTTACTTTCTTCTTTGTTCTGTGACTATGAGAGATTTTTTTAAATCTCCCACTATCATAGTGAACTTTCAGTTCTGTAAATTTATGTATCATAAAGATTACAAATTTCTAAATATTCTTGTTGGAGCAACTTATTGTTATGAAATGTCCTTCTTTATTTCTAGGGATGCTTCTAATCTTAAAGTCTGCTTTGTCTGACAGCAGTATGCTACATCAACTTTCTTTGGTTAATGTTTGCATGGTATACTTTTTCCATCCTTCTACTTCAACCTTGCTGTATCTTTGCGGTAGGTCTCTTAAAAGCAGCATCATGTAAGCATTTTTAAAATGAGAAAGTAGATGGTCAATCTTTGATTTATACCTAGAGTATTTAGCTTATTTACATTTAATGTAATTACTGGTATATTTAGGTTTAAATCTACAAATCTCCCCCCCCCCCCTTATTTGGACCCAGGGCCATGGAGCTTGTGCAGGAGGTCACCCTAGTGGGTACAAGTTGTTGGCGTGGCTTGTAACATTTGACAGTGTGGGGGTACAGGCAATGAAAGTACTTAGGACATACCATCTTGTTGAAGTTGTATTTCTGGGCAAGCTGGTAGAGGGAAGGTTCAATAGTGTCACTTGACAGGAGAAACACCGAGTTCAGGGTGGATTTTTTTCTGGATATGGCAGTCTGAGTGTGGTCTCTCTCCAACTGTTTACTCAGAAAAATCAGATGCTGTTGGTTAAGTGGGAAGCCTTCCTTGTCTTGAATTTTGGCTTTGACATTCTTGATGATGACACTGGCCTCAACCTCAAGGGTATGGTCTTGCCCATCAGGGTCTTACAAAGATCTGCATCTCTACATCTGCTGATTGATTGCATCACTGAAAAGAGCTAAATCTACAATCCTTTTAGACCCACATTTTATATTGTTTTCTCTCCTCTTTGGAAAGAATAGTGACTGTGAAAAGGAAAGCAAAAGGTAGGAAAATCTTCAGATTGCAAACTAATTTTCAGGCAAATAAATTCATAGGGAATTTGATAATCTGCACATGTATTCTATTTTTTTTTAATTTTTAATGTTCATTTATTTTTGAGAGACAGAGCATGAATGGGGAGGAGCAGAGAGAGAGGGAGACACAGAATCTGAAGCAGGTTCCAGGCTCTGAGCTGTTAGCATAGAGCCTGACATAGAGCTCAAACCCACAAACTGAACTGTGAGATCATGACCTGAGCTGATCGACTGAGCCACCCAGGCACCCCTGTATTCTACTTAAAAGGGTTAGGTATTCTAGCATCAAATATAAAGGCACAGAGGAAAGAGAGAGATAGGGTGAGAATGTTAATTTGTTTCTAGAAGGGATCATTGAAATAATTTGTTACAAATACATGATATAGAAAGACAAAGAGATTAAGTGACTTTCCCTAAAGCCTTCAGCATGTTAATGGCAGAGATCACACTAGACATATCCTGACTGCCAAGTCAAGTGCACTTTCTCATCCATTGAACATTGTACTTGGGTTAAAGGTTGTAATCTGCCTCTTGCCCTCCTCCCTCACCCTGCCCCTAACACTGCTCTGATCCTAGTTCTTAAAGTCCTTTGAGGGGTTATGAATAGTATTGCCCTGGAATTATAGGCTGGGTTCTGCCTTTACCATTGAAAGACAGCCCAGAACAAAAGAATACTAATAGCCCCTTAGGGCTTTCCAGAAGCCCAAAACAGGATGAGGAAACTTTCAAAGAAAGCAACTCCACTAGCACAAAGTTCACGATTGTGAATTTCCTTGAACTTCTCTGAGAGCCATTAAATCTGGGAGGGTTAGGACCTCAATGCCATTCGACAGATTGGGAATTCAAAACAAATCAGAGGTAGGGCTGAGTCCAGATCCACAGGCACCAGCAGAGATCTGCATATGCTAT